GAAAAACTGATTAGGTACTGTCTGCTCCAGCTCCAGTGGATTGTATTTGGAGAAACTGTACATCCATATTTTCTTCAGATGGCCTGTTGTTCAGACCAGGCTTGTCACAGCCCATAAACTGCACTGTAGTGGTCCAGGCCTGCAGTGTAACAGAAATGAAGGTTCCTGAGGCCACTTCAGTTTGCTCCACTAACAAATTGTTACCCAACTGAACGAACGTCTCTTTCTGTTTTCCTTCTTGGCACTGGAGTTTCAGCCCACAGTTGCAGTGCAGCGCGAGGTAAGCAGAGCTGGTTCCCACAGGAGGGGATAGGGCAAGTGCTCCAGTGGCTGAGGCACCCCTGCTCTCTGTTTGCATACAGGTAACTTGTAAAACTCCTCCTTGTGTTCTTGAGATAAAATTCTCAGAAACACCCAAATCTCTGACAGGAATTTGAGCTGAAGAGTTGTTAGGAATCAATGAGACTTGGGAGACTTTCAGCATTATTAGCTGCCTTCTGCTATCTTTTGCTGTCTGAGAGCTCCTCTTATTTATGCATTTTCTCTTGAACACATCGCTTGTGAACATAATTCATTGCTCCTTTCTAATTCTCTCTCCAAATACCAGAGGAAAGAGGAAGCCCCTGTTTATCAGTTGTGTATCACTCACTGTTTTATACGTCTCTATTTACCTCTGTACTGGAGAGGAAGGCCTGTGAGCACAAAAACCAACAAGACTGCTTACCGAGTTGTGTGTTGCCTCCTATTATTCCTCCTTCTTGCTTTCCCCTTCTGCTTCTTGGTGTTTTCAGGTCCATTTGACACTAACTACTTGTGCTGTGGCTAATTTGGAGAGACCCAACGTGGTGGCACTGCCCAAACTGAAAGGTGCTTCTTTTATATATACTTTTCATATGGATTGGTGAGCTACGTGGATCTTTTCAGTCACTGGTTCCTATACACATGCTGGCTCTAGTTTTCTCTCCTGCCTGAGCTAGAATGAACAGTCTTGAACATAATGTGCAAGCTGGGGGTATGCAGAGGGTGCCTCTTTTGGTGGTGTGTATCACCTGCAAGATTGCTTTCTACCCTTGCCTTTTCTGTGCTTTTTAGTTTTTGCCATGTGATGCTGGGGCATTTTCCCTGGCCCGTGGGGATCCAGAAAAGTACATCAGGAAGTTAAATTATCTCTTCCAGGATATGTTCCTTGGCATTTGTCATCCATGGTTTTCTCTGCTGTCAAACAGTGCTGTCACCTAGGTTAAGTCCTTGTGGCTTCTGTAAGGGAAGTAATCTTGACTAAACTGAACTTCTGTGTCTCACGTGGTGTGACCAGCAATCCTTGCTCTTTACCTCAGCCACATGAGTAATGTGGCCACTATAAACTCGTGATAGTAAAGACTACTCATGTCAAGTGCACATGAATTATCTGACTGCTGCGCGTTCATTGATGAAAGCTCTATCTGCTCTAGACAGACATACAGAAAAGCATGTTTTTTCAGCTGCTGCAATCCCTGTGTCCAGCAGTTTTTGCTGAGTAAAATGTTCCATGTTCCTTCACCTTTTTTTTCAGTAAGACTAGTTCGCAGAGGCCTGGGTGAGCTCTTTGATTTCTGCTTCCCATAACAAATCCCTGCCTACAGTTGCCTATAGTTTTGGCAGTCTTGAATAGCTTGGGCTGATGCTTCTCTCTTCCTCTCCTATTCACTGCCTTAGGCTGAATGTCTTGGGAAAATTTCAGCTGTTTCCAGGAAGCAATACACAGGGCAATTCATTTTATAGTAATTTAAAAGAGTTCATCTTATCTCATTGTTTACCTTTTTCTCCCCTTCATGTGAAGGAAGTGATTTCCACTGCTTTCCCTCTTGGAGGAGATTCTGATGGAGCTGTTTACTGCCATATCAAAGTCTGCTTTCATTTGGCACCAAATTGATGCAGAAGTCTGAATTAAATTTTTGTTGAGTGCCACTCTCAGAAAATGACAAATTGTGTTTATGGAGGATATGTGACTGCAGAATCCCAGTGCTAGTGAGAATTACTCGAGCAACTTTGTCTTTGATCTGAGGTTCTTGGTGGTGTAGGAAGGGATGAGCCTGCCCACCATTGAGGTCACCTTTCACATCTTTATTGAGCAGGGCAAACAGACTAGTTCAGAAGGTATGAATGCTGCAACTTGTGAGAGCCTGTCATCTTCTCATGACCTTGTGATTCAGCATCTTACTGGATGTGAGGTCAGTTTGTAGTTCGGCGTCACCACACTTGGCTGCATGACACTGCATAGCTCCAGTCTCACAGGATCCAGGGAAACGTGCAGCAACATGAAGGCTCCAGCATTGAAAAATGAACCTGTTAAATGTAAGTGTCAGTTTTTTCTCCTTGCTTTCCACCTTTCCTAATGATTTAAAATGAAGAACAGAGCAACAATCTGCTACCACTGAAATGCTTCAGTGGTGTGTCACAAGCCCTTCTGGAGTGATTGCTGCTCCAATCCATTGAGTGAGAGCAAGGCTGTGTTCTCTGCCAACCCCTGCGAAGCAGCGTCTTTGAATGGGCCAGACCATAGCGTTCACTGTTGCCATATGATTATGTTAGTGCTGGTTTTGTGCAAGTGAATGCCTGTTGCAGTTTTGCAACTTCAAAATAACATTCTTGCTTTAAAGACATGCTGTAGGAGGATGTAGAATAAGTGGACAGGTTGTACCACATCATGTCACTTGGCCTGTTCTGGAGCTCCCAAGCTCTAAGGTACCAAGTAGCAGAACACTATTCTGGGGTTACTGGCAAGAGTGAGTTTCAAGAGTGAACACCATGCTGCATCAAGCTGACAGTGCAGATGTGCCAGGATGACTTTATTTCCCACTGCTGTCAACTGGCACAGTTGCACAGCTTTGCAGAGTCTGTTGCCATACTGTTCTGATTTGAAACCACTCCAGATCTGTCTTGTTCAGCCTTCTGATTGTGGTTCTGGCTCTACCTTCAGTGGCTTACTTTACATTTACTTGTTGAAGCTGATCCTAGTCCTGATTTGCTGTGAGGCTAGTGAAGTGAATCCTTGCAAAGAGATAAGACAAGAAAAATCCTGGTGTAAAGGCTTGAAGTTTCCAGAGTTTTGTATGTGATGATTTATTGCTTTTGAAAGTTATTTACTTTTTGTGTGTTTGCAGAGATCATGGTCTGAACTGCTGATCTGTTAGGAGGGTGGGTGAGCTGCTGCTTTCAAACTCTAGTCTGTCATGGATGGCAGCAAATGAAGCATGGATGGGAGGAAGCCAGTGGGTGATTGCGGAGGGGTTTGGTTTGTGCTACAGGATCATGTGTCCCCTTCTTGGGGAGCTGCTGGGCTCCTTCCTCCCTCTGGCTTGCTGTAGGAAAGGGTGCCTACTTAAACAACTTTGGTAATAGAAGTTAGGCAAATGGACTGTTCTGGATTAAAAAAAAAAAACTTACATAGAAGTATTATGTGTTTGATGCTGTTTAATAGATGTTTTTTCCTGCTAAGTGTAAATCTCCATGGCTCCTGGTAGCACTTCAGCAGCACTCACAAGCTAATGAGTTGCTAATATTCAGCCCCTCCCCAGGCTAATTAGTTCTGTTAAGAATGTATTAATCTAGGGAGAGCCCTGAGCTAATGCAGCTTTGCTGCTTGTGGAACTTGAGCTGGTGTGGTTAAAACTGGGATGCAGATTTCTGACTTTGGGCTCTTCTGCATGTATAGGCTCTAGGCACTGTGATTTCTCCTAGCAGCCGTGGGAGCTGTTCTCCTAGCCCAGCCTCCAGGTCCCAAGAATTTGCAAACATTTGACTGATTTCCCCAATGTAAACATACCTACCGTGCACTTCCCTCAAGCATGGCAGCACTGTGGATGGAGCGTCAAGAGAGAGGTTAGAAGGCAGCAGGCTTGGTGGAACAGGAGTCAGCAATGAGACACCCCCTTATTGCACCACAGGGAACAGAAACTTCCCTCCCTTCCTCCTCACAGACTTGAGCTCAGGTGGGTCAATACAGCTCTTCAGTAGGTCTAGCCTTAAAACCCTTTGCTATTCTTATGTTTTGCCCAATGAGTCAACAGCTTGGAAATAAAGATCTGCAGATTTGCGATGGTGCAGGATATGGTATATTTTGTTTTGCTCGTAGGGTGCATTGTCTTTCTGGGGCTTAGGTTGCCCCATGGTTTCACCTAGGTTCCCAGTGATATTCTAGAGAGAAAGTGTGCAGGGCTCTGCAGCAGTCTGATAGCATTGATTTATTAGGCAAGTATCACAGTTCTGTTTATGCAGACAAGTAGGCAAAGTAACTGTTGTAAAACTCACATTGGTCTCCTAAAATCGAGAATGCAAGCAATCTGGAAGAAAAAGGCAAACTATTTAAGGCTGGTTGGCCTATTTTACTAACCCTACGTTTCTCAACTTTTTCTTACAGTCTCATGGGAACGTGTACTAAGCAGGCTCCATTTATGATGTTAGTCAGTACCGCTTCTCAGTGCAGCTTTCTGAGGCTTGGTTAATACATGGCACCACTTTGGGTCCCCTTTATCTGGTGCCCCATCCTACTCTCTTCAAGTTCCAGTTCAAGAAGTGATAATACGCAAAGTTCACACACAGTGAACAGCAGAAAACCCCAAAGGGAGTCTTCATACACAGTAATGTTCGTGCAAAATGAAGGAGAAAGTAAAAATCAAGGGGACTCTGTCTGTGAAAGGAGTGATGTGATTAAACATATTTATCTGGGAAAAGACCCTTACTGACGTGGTGTTTTGCTTTGCTTTACAGGTACTCTCCATCACTGTGAGCTTATTTCATAGAGGGACTGCAGCCCACTTGATCAGTGGATGTTACATCTCCCATCTGAAGACAGGTTGATTTGGCTCCTTTCTACCACTAAGGATTGTGGTTGGTGAATGTGTTTGCCCCACCACCTCTAAATTAGTGGTGTGCCAAGCACAGGGGTGAAGAGGCTCTTTCTCTGGATATTGATCTTCTTAACGCATCGCAACGCCTCGGGCCCACCAGCAGCACAGAATATGGAGGCTATTGAAGTTGATGACATTAGCCCTGCCTTGGAAGTAACTGAAGACTTTTTCAATAGTTTTGATACCAAGCTTGAAAAGATTGTGCAGCCTTCTGAGGTGTACAGTGTACAGGAGGTCCCTGAACTGGTTGGGCACGAGGTATTTGATCAGATAACAGAGAGCAGGAATCTGAGGAATGTCGCCTCCTTAGCCAAAAGTAGCCTCATCTGGGATCACTGCAAAAATGGCCTCTTGGAAACCAAAGCTCAGACAGCATTCCCTGACAAAGACCAATGCGTGGTGCAGAGGGGAAAAGCTGCTGACAACCTTGCTTGGGCAGGGGAAGGGGAGACCACAGCTTTTAACATCTTTAATATCTGCCAGCGGAGGAGAGACAGGCCTCGCTCGGTGAACGACATCCTGGTGCAGAATGAGGAAGCCTCAACATTCAAGCCAGGACACAACAGGTCACGCTCTGATATCAGCCATGTAAAGTGGGGAGTGGTCTTCACGGGCACCTCCTTGCAGCAGCCACCTGCTTCTGGTCAGGACAATAACTGCACTCTGCTCTCTTACCTGGCATTAACCAAGGGAGAGGACATCCAAGGAAACACAGGTTTGTGCTGGTGCTTTATTGTTTCTGTTGATAAAAGGACTTTCCTGTTTGTTCTTAATATTCATATTGAAAAAGAAACTGCATGTTTAAAAAAGACAAAACCCCCCCAAAACAACTGTGAGGTAGCTCTTATGAGCACAGAAATCAGCATGGCTCTGTTGCCTTTTATGTAGCTCTCTGTTTGCCTGCCTAAGGATCTGTTTTTAAACCAATAGTGACTTCTGTTCCTTTCATGTTTTGAAAAACTAAGTTTGCTTTACTTTTTGCTTCTATTTTGTTCAGTTTGACTCTGGGGAAAAACAAAATATTTGTTATGTATTTCTGATCATTTCCTTCCATGATTTTCCCAAACTAAAAAATGCTAAAGCTCTTGAGAGAATGTCAAATCCAAACAAAGGCAGATTTCATAAAAGTTTAAGAGCGGCCATTAAAAAAGAGGGCATACAAAGCTTTTCTGTGAGGCCTGATGTCTCTGCTCTGTTTCTTTAAGAAATGCTGGCTATTCAGTCCATAAACAATTAGCAAAAACTCAAGCATGCTATTTGTGCTTGTCAGTATTAAGGCATCTCTGCCAGCTTTGTGTGGGGTACAGGAAGTCTCGTTATCAGATTGAGGCAGGCGTCTCCAGTGAGCCCTGCCAAGCGATGTTTCAGCAAGTGATACTTTTTCCTTTTCCTTTCTCAAGCACTGCACTGGAAGAGGTTGTGCTCAGGGCTTCGGAAACACTGAACCAGTGTCTGCCATCTCCATGATTTATTTTGTAGATGTCAGAAGGGGACTGGGTACTTACGGAAAAGAAAAGCAGTTAGTGCCACAAAGGTTTTATAATTTAAATAAAGGCAGGATTTAACAAAGGAATTTAAAAATCAAAGGGTTGCAATAGCATGTGTGTGTTTGTATGGTGGCATGGCTCCAGTTATGAATAGGCAGCCTGTTTAGGGTTAAAACAAGCCTTTTGGGTTTTAGGCTTTCCAGATAAATCATCTGTTTTGGAGCATGAAATGCAGGTGCCTAAATGGTTGTGTTTGTGGATGTGTGCACATATAAATATAAATGTATATAATATGTATAAATAATATAATATTTACGTATGTATATACACACACACAACCCTGTAGGTTATTGTGTTATATTGTGACATAGTTGCTGTATCCAAAAGAAGGGTGCTCTTGGTTTACAAAGGCAAGTATACCCCGTTATTTTATTTAGGGAGATATATTGCTTCCTGCAGAGTGAGATCTCTGTTGTGTGTCCTTCCTGTGGAAGGGGGGCAGAAGAGGAATGCACCCAGAAGCCTGGAGACAGAGCTCTCAGTTTCTGCCAGCTGTATCCTGGGCATCTCATGGGTTTAAATTTAGCATGTAACACCTTTATATGCCCACAGAAACACCATTAAAATCTAGCCATTAAAAGTCAATAAATGTCCCTGATAGTGTTTTAAGCTCAGTCTCTTTGTCCTAATTTCCCCACACAGCCCTCAAAATAAGAAGGGGGTTCTGTTACTCGTACTGTTTATAATAAGAAATACCTAAGCTGTTCTCTATTTAAAGAGTTGTTCGCGTACTTATTCAGTGAGAGAGATTCCAAGCTGCCGCTGGATCCCCAAGCTGCAAGAAGCAACCTGCCAATCCAGCTGGTGCTGAGTAGCAGAGTCCAAGGCCAAACAGGTCTCCCTTCTGTCAGTCCAGGGCTCAGGCAACTGCAGGACTACGTTGGGGTGCACCCTAATGTGTTACACCTCTGTCTGGGGTGAAGCGAATTACACTCCCCTTTCCCTTACACACAGATGCAAAACAGTGTGATGCAACTGTTCATAAAAGGAAGCAAAATGAAAAATGTAAACAATGGTGTAGGTTTTTCTTCCCCTTCTGGCAAACAAGGAAATTTTATTAGGAACTGCAGTGCTGGGACACCATTGCTTTAAAAGTCAGGGACCACATACTGCAATCTCTTCCCTTTCCTGGGTGGGAGTCTCCTGTGCTTTCAGAACGTGGGCTGTCAGATGTCAGACCCCAGGGAGATGCACCAACCCTCTGGAAGCCCTGGAAGGGCTTTGCTGTATCCAGAGTCAAGTCTCTATCAGGACTTCAAACCAGTGTCTAGAACAGCTTGATAGAAAACCTTCTATGACCTAACCATGAGAGGAAAAGATGAGAAACACACTCTGTGTACAGCTGGATCTAACCATGGGATTCCTTAAGCTAGGTTGTGTCCAGTATTCAGTCACCCCATCGCAGTGTGTACCCAAGGCGTGCCGCTTTAGTAGTAGCAGTGGAGCTGAGTGGTACTCTTCCCAACCCCTCAGCAGGCACTTATACTGTTTAAATGCAGTTAATCCAATGAAGTTTTTCTCCATAACAGAAAAAGTGAACAAACTATGTTAGAACGTGATATACTCTTTATCGTTTTGATTTCATGTTGAACAGTTTCTAGCTGTGAGTTATAACTGTGAAGACCTCACATCTATAAAGTAGTTTTGTGATGTATAGTAATATTAGCGCTCTTAAGAAAAACAGAAATTGTCAGACTCCCATGAAGACAACTCTTGGTTTTGTACTATGTGCAGTAGTGCTAGGTGTCTTGTAGCCCATCCATTCCTTGATTTCTCTGTAGTACCAGTGTGCCAGAAGCACAGGTCTCTTCAAAATGGCTTTTTACAGAAGAGATGCGATATGGTCAAGTTCTGGGATCTCGGAGGTGAACTGAGCAAGGGAACTGAAATAGATTAGTAAGAGTGGCTGAAAGAACTTTTCCCAGGACTCACCTGTAGCCCAGCAGCAGTCAGTACCTCTAAGGTGCTCAGCCCCCACTTTTCCTATTGCTTTTTGCAAAGGTGCAAAACATTTGTCAGTGCTTGCTGTGTGCCCTCCAAGAGCCTTTCTGCATGGGATGTTTGAAGGCAGTGGTACCTTCTTTGAGGAAGGAGAACTTCTGCGCTCTGAAGGTGCACTCTTTTAACCTGTTTCCTCAACCTGTTCAGTTCAGCAGCTGTGCGGGTTTTTGAAAATAGCCATGGTATTTCCTTCCTCTGTGTTTACAAGAGAGCCTACCATAGAGTTTGCTGCTACTGTGGGCTGAGCTGAAAAGAGAAAAGCAAAAGAAAGAAAGTAGGTGTTGCAGATATCTGTATCTAGGACTGGTAATTGTTCTCCACAAGAGGCTGAAAAATGTGTTTTAAGGTTGGCTAAAAGCTGCGGCAGTGGCTAAAGGAGTCATAGAGGCCAAAGCCTGTGGAGACATCCCTTTTCAGGGCTTTAATACAAATTAAAAGAATGCATATGAGATATTGAGAGCAACTTCAGCCACTCCTGTCAGTCCTCATTGCGGTAAAGGACTTCCTTCTGGAGCCTGCAGAGGTCTCCCAGTCCTCTGAGGCTGGCCGAGTTGCTGCATAGATTAACTCTTCACAATTTTATTTTCCTTATCTTCATAGTATATTTATTACTATGAGCTTATCTGTTCCTGCTGCTTGCTTTTTTGTAATACAAATAAAATGAAACTGTATTGTTTCCATGTGTTGTGAAAGAAAAGGATCTGAAAAGAAGCTGTGCCTTTTGGGCTAGTATCTCCTTAAGCCTGCTGGCAAAACAGCTGGCCTACTAGAAGTGAGCGCTGCGTTCTACGGAGCAGTGTCAAGCAGTAAGTGGAGCTAGGGAAGATGGAAGTTGTAAGCAAATTCAAGGCAGGCTTTTGTATTTCTGGGCATGTAGCCTGGCAAACAAAGGGAGAATGCTGCTTCTGTAGTATCCAGCGAAGGCTTGCTTAGATCATTAAAACGCAATGTGTGAGCGGTTATCTTTGATAACATGGATGTTTTCATTCAAACACAGCCACTCCTGAGGGCATGGGTGCTGCAGTACTTTTCCCAGGTAGCCAGTTTTGTTTGCCTGCTATGCCTGTGAGCTTAGGGAACTCCAGAGCTGTCACTGCGGTGAGCACCTGCATGCTGACAAACTGCCCTTACTGCAGAAGGCTGATGTGCCCCTCTCCAACAAGCCAGCCCCACTGATTTTGGCAATATGCTCTGTTAGGAAGCTGCCCCTACGGGGTGTTTGCAGCACTGTGACATGGCAAAATAGACATACCAGAGAAAGGTGACTGCCTTAAAACTGGCCAACAGCCTGAATTCTACTGTGTCTGGTGGAGGCCAGGATTTCACCTCCTTCTTTCATAGAATCACAGAATCATTAAGGTTGGAAAAGACCTCAAGGATCATCAAGTCCAACCATCAACCCAACACCACCCAACCCACTAAACCATGTCCCTAAGCACCACATTCATTTCTACTGAATGATTTTTTAAAAATATCTTTTTTCCCCCCTCTCTTCACATATTTTTATATGTCTGGGAGACTAGCCATCGTTTGGGACACTGTGAAGATATGATCTCGTACTTGGAGTTTGTGTAGGGGATATTTCAAGAGAGGTTTGGGCCCCTCTTCTTATAGCTCCCCTCTTCTTATAGCTCCCCTCTTCTTATAGCTCCCCTCTTCTTATAGCTCTTGTACATATTAGAACTTTTTAGTGTGTTTTTGTGGAGGTGAGACATCTAAATCTGTATTCTTGAGCAACACACCGCTGATTCACAGGTTGGGGACTGGGGTGATCCTTACGTTCTGAGGACTCATTTTACAGTGGTGCTTTCTCTTATTCTGGTGACCACACAGACTTTGTTGGGATGTCTTCTTTGTTTGCCAGATAATCTTCACCTTTCGCTGTAGCAGTGGTGGCTGGTACTAGCTCTGTGTCTGTGCCATTGGCTCATGGAGCATTTAGTGGTACATATAGGAGTCCTTAGCAGGTTTGTGGTGGTGGGTCACAGAGCAGCAGACAGCGGTGCCATCAATTGCTGCTGCTGTTGTCCTGCTCGGGGAGGAGCTGCAAAGACAGCTGGGTGTAAAGGGGAAGTGTGGCAGGTGTGGGAGCTGCTGCAGAGGTGGAGGTGGCCAGAAATCCGGAGAGGTGTGAAACATTGGAGGTGTGACATGCAGCCTTCAAGTT